GGCCCTCGAGCCTATGCCTCGATCGTGGCTTCGATCACAGGATCGAGCCTGGACCTCGGTCATGGCCTCGATTATGGCATCGAGCCTGGTCCTTTGATCATGGCCTCGATCCTGGCATCAAGCTTGTGCCTTCGATCATGGCCACGATCATGGTATCGAGCCTGGGCCTTTGATCATGGCCTCTATCATGGCATCGAGCCTGAGCCTCGTCTCTGGCTTCGACCCTGGCCGTCGACCATGGGCTTGATATCTGGGCTCGATCTTGGGCTCGATCACAACCCTGAATATCCAGCAGAAGAGAAAATTGCACCAGTTTTTTAAGTCAATTCTTTTATCCGTTAACCATCCGAAACTCACCCGAGGCCCTCGGGACCTCAACCAAATATACCAACAAGTCCTAAAACATCATACGAACTTATTTAAAACCTCAAATTACATAAAATAGTGCTAAAATCACGAATCATGCTCCAATTCATGCTTAATGAAACTTAAAATTTTTAACTTCTACATTCGATGTCGAAACCTATCAAATCAAGTCCGATTGACCTCAAATTTTACACACAAGTCATAAATGACATAACAGAGCTATAAAAATTTTCGGAACTTGATTCCGACTCCGATATCATAAAGTCAACTCCCCGGTCAAACTTCCAAACTTAAATTCCTATTTTAGCCATTTCAAACCTAATTTAACTACGGACTTCCAAATAAAATTCCGAACACGATCCTAAGTTCAAAATTACCATACAGAGCTGTTGGAATCGTCAAATTCTATTCCGGGGTCGTTTTCTCAAAATGTTGACCGAAGATAAACTTGGCCTTTTAAAACCATCTTAAGGAACCAAGTGTTCCGATTTCAACCCAAACACTTTCAAATCTCGAATCAACCATCCCCGCAAGTCATAAATCATGAAAAGAATATACAGAAAGTTTTATTTTAGGGAACGGGGTTCTAAAAGTCAAAATAACCGGTTGGGTCATTACAATTTTAGCTTTAGTAGGGTTATAAAATGACTCGGATATGGCATACAAACAAAATACGAATTTTCTAGCATAGATTATTTTAGTATAGAATAATTATGGATGTGCATTATGTAACAAAAAAAGGCAAAAATTTTGTAGTATAGGATAATCATTTTAAACTAATGTAGAATTTAATATTTTTTTTTATCGAAACCCATTTGGGTTTTGAATCAAATCTTATTAAGAGAGACATGTATCTAAAGTGGGTATGACCTATTTAAGCTTATGTGACATATATTTTTGAATTTTTCTTATTAAATTTTATGCCATGTCATATTTATGGTGGGGGTTTGAGGCAAAATGATTTTTAAGTGACAATTATAAAGTTTATTTACTTTTAAATGACAAAAAATAATTAAATGACATTAGTGAAATTGAAAGATAGTTCACTGACCATCAGTGAAATTAACCCTACACTTGAATAAACAAATAAACGATGAAATATAATCTGCATGTTATCCAACAAATGAACTTGACTTTACTTTAAAAGTGAAAATGGAATTTATAAATTATAGGTAGATTTATCAAATTAGTTGGCATTTGTTTTCGAGTTCCCAAAAACTGAGTTTTAAACTCATTTTAATTTACAGTTTCTGAAAAGGTGTTTGTTTAAATTTTTTGCTAAGATACAAAATTGAAAAAGATAAAAAGAAGAAACTCAAACTCTTTTTTTTTTTCGCCTAACGCGGCCGTGTATCCACCGTTAAAACTGTGTAAAGTGGTCACAGTATAACCAAAACAGACTTTATAATTTCTAGTAGGATACAACCAAAATGCCCCCCCAGAATTGGTAACAGCAAGTATGGACGACATTACACAAACTACTTATCTTTTCTGCTCGTCCTCCTTTTATGCTTCCGTGATTTCACTTCTTTTAACTTATTAACCCGACTAATTCTATTCGCATGACGTATCGATTAATTCACATTAACACCAGGAGGAAGAATTTATTATTAAAAATTCCTTCATTTTCATGGCACATATCCAAAAATTATACGGTACAAAATGAAGAGATATTATCCATTCATCACATATATCGGTAGTGAGCTATTTTTACTGTACCACACCAAGGGCAGAGCTAGAAGTCGAAATACGGATGAGGTCGAATCCAATAACTTTTATTCAAACTCTATATTTGAATTAAGAAACTAACTAAATATGTACGAATATTAAAATTTAGAACCTAGTTACTAGCATCTTATGTCGGTATTCCTAGAATTTGAAACTCAGAAATTCAAATCTCGACTCCATCCCTCTCTACAACACCATAAAATCTTTTGCTACTTATATTACATTAACTTTTATAACCCTGCCTCGTCTTTTCCATGCACACAAAAATCAGAGTCTCTCGAACCCGTTTGGTCATAGATTTTATCAAAATAAATTTGAATTTTATTTGACAAACACATATTTGGCCATATATTTTGCCTACCTTTTTGGTCAAATCCCAAGTCCCAAATCCCAAACCCAGCTCAATAGTTGATTTTGTGCCAAAATATCACTATTATATTTTTAAAAATTGCCCCATACTTTTATATTTTATAAAAGAGCCTACCATTTATTATTTTGTAACGATGTTGCTTCGTCTTCTCGGTCATATGATAGTGTATCATGTAGTTCATTATAAAAATGATAATTTTGTATCAAATTTATTTATGTTCAGGACTATGGTTTGCGATAATATAATGAATGTTATTGATAATGGTATTGTTGGATATTTGTGATAGTTTTTAGAACTTATGGGTATAAGTCATGTTTCATGTTTTTCCAAACCAAATTTCACCCAAAACATATGTCCAAACACATTTTCATCTTCAAATCAAACTTTACCCAAATCAAATTTTTCAGAATAAATTTGAAAATTTATGACCAAACGCTAGTCTGATAATTCAAATATGAGGTCACTTCCTGTGACTTTTTCTTTCAAGATTGACAAAGAAGGTCATGAAAATCCCAAGAAGATAAGAAAGGACTGTCCAACAAAGGAAAGAAGAATCATCCAAAAGAGAAAGAAATACCAGAATTAATCCGATTTGTGGCTTGATACAGTTGGAATTATTGCGCTCATATATGTATGCCTTGTACTGTAACAAAATTCAAAGAAAACAATAAAAAGATTTTCCTACTATATTCAAAAATCAAAACCTACCTCAAGGCTACATTTACAGCAATACTTTTTGTACAAATCAGTATTTAAAATCATCAAACGTGTCACCATAGTAAATGCTTCCTAACTGCCTCATCCAGTGTCTTGTCTCTTCACCCCCTCTCCCCCCAAATTATAGAAATTATTAGTAAAACAACAAAAAATTAATCTTCTAAATATAGGATTTTTTTTAGACATATTCCACATGTTAATTGTAACTCTTAGTCCTAAAATTATAATAATTAGACAATTAAGGATTATAAAGAGAAAATCTTGGTGCAACGATCAAGTTGTCTCCGTGTGACCTTATAAATCGTCGGTTCGAGCAGCGGAATCAACCATTGATGTTTGCATCAATATGGGCCGGCTACATCATACCCCTGGGATATAACTTATCCAAAACCCTACGTGAACACAAAATATTTTGTGCACCCTAGTGCCCTTTAGACAATTAAGGATTATAGAAGTGATCATCACATCTGCATTTCCATCCAAGTGGCTTGTAATTGGAGTACCTGCTGTTGGCCCCAGAAGGTGAAAGCGACGACTCTGCAGTATTGTAGTATTGGGTTCGAACCAGATCATGACCATGACTCGGTTCAACTCGGTTGTGGCTCGGTAGGGTTGGAACCTGAACAGCCATGCATGGATGACATTGGTTACACTTGTTGTAACAACTCGGTGGCATTGATCCCAATCTTGTTTTCTCTTCAACCAAAACATCCTATTAAAAATCAAAACCAAAATTCAACACCATATCAACATCAGGCAGATCTAGAATGGTTCGGCATGTTTAACTGATCTTACTATTTTCAGCTCGCTTCACTCATGGTATATGTCCTTTATTCTATTTTATGTGACATAGTTCTAAGTATGATGGTCAAAATACTCTTTCCGTAATTTATGTGAACTTATTTTCTTTTTAGTTTGTGTCAAAAAGAAAGACTTCTTTCCCAATTTAAAAATAATTTACTTTTATGTAATGATTTATAACCACACAAAGTATATGTACCTCATTTTTTAGGTCACAAATTCAAAATTTTTTTTTCTTCTCTTAAACTCCGTACCAATCAAATGGATTCACATAATCTGAAACGGAGGGAGTAGTTAATTTTTAGCGCATTCAACCTTTAATTTTCGTAAAGAAATTTACATAATTGGATAACATATATAAAAGAGAGA